AGACCCTCTAATCCCTTCCCTGATATCTAGGGAGGAAGACAGCAGACTTCTCATCCTGCCCGCATCACTTGGTCCACGGCCGGGCTCCTGTCTATGAGTTGCTCTTCACACTATTGGCTGTGTTGTCTCTGTTAATCACCTGCAAACTCCTAGAATGGGTCCAGTTATTGGCACTCACAGGCTGAGCTCAGGACATTGCCAAAGTTAAAAACACAGTACATTTTTCACGAACGCCCATCTGATAAAAAGGAAACTTCTATTTTAGCGTGAGTGCATAAAGGGTTAAGAGGTGGAAACAATCCATTTGCTTTCTAACTGAAGGAAATGTAAAGGACCGGAGTTCTAGTCTCTGCTTAGCCAGGCAGCCTGCCTATAAGTGGCACACCAAGACAGTGTATAAAACCTTATTGCAGCACTACCTACACACAGGGGGTGGAGGGGCCCTTGTGACCATTGACCACTGTGATGCCTGTGTGGGGCTCACAAGAGAATCATCTTTAGAGCTGAGAAGACTGTGTCTCCCAGTAACAGAAAGAGGAGCAGTCGGCAGTCAAAGGAACTGGGTGGTGGTGGTGGGGAGAGGGACACAGAGGAAAGCAGGCCTTTCTTTTCTGAAACTCCAATCCTATCAGGACATCCAGTGTGTGACTCTTTGTGTGAGAGAGAGAGAGACAGAGAGAGAGAGAGAGAGAGAGAGAGAGAGAGAGAGAGAGACAGACAGAAAACGTGTGTGGATGTTCATGTATATTTGGGTGTTTGGATGCACATATATTTGTGTTTGTATGTATATGCCTGTGTGTGTGAGTATGTGTATATTTGCATTCATGCATACCTGGGTATACAAATTTGTGTGTGTATGTGTGCTTCTAAGTGTGTATGAGTGTGTTTGTGTCTGTGTGTATGTGTGTGAGAGAGAAAGGGAGATAGGGAGATAGAGAGAGAATGAATATGTGGATGGTCATGTATATTTGGGTGCACATATTTATGGGTGTGTGCATGTGTGTCTCTAAGTGTGTGTGTGTGAGTGTATGTGTGTATGTGTGTGTGAGAGAGAGAGAATGAATATGTGGATGGTCATGTATATTTGGGTGCACATATATTTGTGTTTGTGTGTGTATGTCTGTGTGTATATTCACGTTCACACACATTTGAGTACACATATTTATGGATGTGTACACATGAGCCTCTGTGTGTGTATGAGTGTGTGTGATGTGTGTGTCTGGGGGGTGGTCTGTGTAGGACAGAGGGTTCTACTCCTCAATAAATGACCACCCTATTTTTCTGTTTTTACTTTCCTGAGGCAGGATTTACCCCTGGCCTGGAACTCACCAAGTAGATGAAGCTTCCCGGTCAGCAAGCCCTACAGACTATGTGTCTCTGACCCTGCAGTGTTCAGATTAAGTGTGGGCCACCACACCTGGGTCTATGGGCTATCTGTCTCTGACCCCATAGTGCTGGGGTTATTAAATGTGGGCCACCACACCTGGGTCTATGGGCTATCTGTCTCTGACGCCATAGCACTGGGGTTATTAAATGTGGGCCACCACACCTGGGTCTATGGGCTATCTGTCTCTGACGCCATAGCACTGGGGTTATTAAATGTGGGTCACCACACCTGAATCTGCTTCACCCAGGTTCTGAGGGTCAAACTCAAGCCCTTGTATTTGCATGACCAGCACTTTCGCAGCTGAGACACACCTCCTCAGCCCTGGGAAGCCATATTTAGTTAACATCTGTCAAGAGTGCTTCACAGTCCTGTAAGCTCCAACCACCTAGCTCCGTATCTGAGACTCTATGCCGACACCTCAGCTTAGCATCTCTCAGATTCCAGTCACAGCCACCAGGAAGGTTGAGTCCACACCAGCAGCCAAGGCCTCTGCCTCAGCGGCTTCACGGAGATTCCTCACACCCTGCCCTGAAGTTTCTCGGCCTACCCTCAATTTTACCTGGAGACTTCCTGGCTGGGTCTGAGAGGAAAAACACCCCCAGGGAGTTCCTTTACTCTGGCCTTTGGCTGCACTGGGTCTGAGTCAGTGACCTCCCCTTAGGTTGGGCCTTACTGCTGGTAACTACCTGTTGCAGGCTACAGGGTCTGATAAAACCATAAACAACCTCAGCGTGGGCGGGGACTCTAATCAGCACTTCTGCCAGGACAAAGTGTCAGTGCTGATGAGAAGATCCAAACATTTAAGGAATGAAATTGATCCCCCCCCCTCCTCCGCTTAGCCTGAAGGCAAGTCCTGGCAAAAGCCTATTATGCAAATGAACTCCAGATGTGTGAGTGGAATTGACCTTTGGGTGGTTCTGGGAGAAAAAAAAAAAAAATCCTTACTCTAGCAAGTTGGTTCTACTCTGATCATAGTAGGGCAACTTTTCATTTCCACCTAACCGCTCACTGGCTCACTGAGGTTTCCCACAGAGCCTTGAACAAGCACCAGGGAGACTTCAGTCTTAGGAGCCAGAGCCCAGAAAAGGTTCTTTGAATGAATGATTGACACTCTATTGGGTAAGTGCACTTACCTTTCTGCCTATGTGGGGATGTTTTCGAGATGAGGTTTTTGGGAAGTACTGGAGAGGAGAGAGGGATAGTAACGAACCAGGGAAAGTTAGCCAGGACAGAAACACCAGTGGCCTCCTGACAGTGGCCTTCAAGGATCCTATTCCCTTCCCACACTTTCCTGCTTTGACCTCCTCCTGCTCTCCCTGCATTCCTCTGCTCAGAGCCCACTGGCTACTTTTAGCTCCCTGAAGGCCCAGCCCAGTCCCCTGGAGCTTTGTCTCAGCAATTCCTTCTCACTTCGCTGTCCCTCATTTTCCGCCTGAGATAACCATCAGGAGTCTCCAGTCCAGCCCTTGTTGTAGCAATACCAGTTCCCGGACAGTCAGGCCCTCTTACTCAGATTTATTTAGTGATTTTTGTTTGCTGTATTTTCCCCATTGTGCTGAATGCGCCCTCTAATACTTGCACATGCGCTAACAGTTCCTGACCCCTGGCCTTACCCAGATGGCAACTCCCTGAAAATGGAGACTTTGTTTCCTTCTGCACTGCTAGTGTAGCACTGAGAAACACCTGCTGCATGCCACATAACACAAGCACTACAAATATTTGCTGAAGGAATGGACAGCCAAGGCAGGGGGAGGAGGGGAGAGGATTGGCAAATGCCCCTACCAGCTAAATCAAGGGAGACTGTCTGGAGGAGACTGTAGTTGGAACTGAACTTTTTCTCTGAGTCTCAGATCTGAATGCCTGCCCCAAATCACACGAACCTACTTCTAGACCCCAAGCATGTGCTGATCTGAAGGGAAGAAGCTTCTGGAAGGAAGAGAATTTATCATTGATAGTTCAGGGACCCGGCGATCTGGTCAAGGGGTTGGGAGAGGGACGGGTCCTGAAGTTGCTTATGGCAGTGGAGAGAGCAAACCTTCCAAAGGCTAGACTGGGGAGGGCGCCCTGGCCGAAGCCAAAGCGTTGGGCTATAAAGCCTGATGACAGCCTCTCCTTCTTTAACTGCTGGGGACTTGCTGGTGTCGGGGACAGTGTCTGCCCACAGATTATAGTCACACAGTTCATGGAATCCATTATGGGGCTAGAGCTGTGATTAAGTAGCTCTACAAACGTTGGGTGGGGAAAGGAGCTAAATTTGCTATGGCTCACTGGGAGTAAGAAACTATGTCAATGGATTAAGTCTTTCAGGTCTCACAGGCAGCTTTGGAAATAATCACTGTCCCCATGTGACAGGTAGAGACACAGGCTCAGCAATTTAGCAATGACCTTAGCAGAGTCAGTACAAAAAGCCAAATACACCCTGGGGTCATTATAATTCACGGTATTTTTCTCCCTTCTCTGGATGGTCACACAGCTCAGGGAGCACGCTAGAAGAAAAAGACAGGAAGAAGAAAGGAAGGACATCCCAGGCTAGGCTATCCACCAAAAGAACAAATGAGAAAGTGTGGGGCTGAAGATTCTGGGAACCGAGGTAGGTAAATACCTTAGCGGTCCCCCAGCTGGGCTCTATCAGCTGCCGTATGCTCATGAAGCACTTCTGGCGTTAGCTCTTAAGGGAATGAAGATAAGCTCTATGAAGAAGACCCTGAGCGTAGGAGGTAGAGACGGGTAACTCCACTGACCATTGAGAGTGACATGGGTGATCATTTCAGGGTAAGGAATGCTACTTCCGTCCTCCCTAACCTTGTCCTGCTGTGTCCCAGGTCAGCCTAAGGGAAATGTACTCATAAGTGCGAGCCCAGGAAGCTGAAGCCCTGTTGACCTTTAGTCAAATGGGGAGGTTTGTCAGCCTGCATCATATGCAAATTCAAGGAAGAAATTCAAATAGATGTGGCCATGCACTGCCCATAGGAAAAGAACCGCTGTCCAATGTCAATGGGACCCAGGAAGGGAGGAGGTGTGAGAGAAACAGATGTGCAGTCTGGAAAGGGGCGATGAGAAAGGTACACACGAGCCCTTGGATGACAGTAAACTGTGTTTCTCCCTGAAGATACTGCAAACGGGATGCAAACCAGGCCTCTTCCAGGACGCCTAAACCCCACCTCGGGGGGGCTGCCTACCAGAGGACTTCTGCTGGTCTAAATATGCTTAGCTAGAAAAGGCAGGAGGGACTTCAACTGTGACCAAACACCAGCTCTAACCTATTCCTCCCCCATGTGTCATGCTAATCTACTGCTTCAGGCCTAAATATTCCAGACACTCAGAGCGACCCAGACACCTTTGAGAATACAGCTAAACATGCCCAGGGGCCTTGGCCTACCTCCTAACCATAGTTTTCCTGGAATACGTGCGACAGTTCTCATTTGTGTCCTCTTTCATTGAGTCTTTCCTTAGACATAGCATTGGGAAGCAGAGCTTCTAATGAAAGACGACAGACCTAGGGAGATGAGTGAGCCCTGTGCTTCCGTGTGGTCTCCGAACGTGCACATTACACCCTTCCTACCAAAATGCTAGTTACCGACTTCCGCCGTCCTCAAACTCAGCAGGTCGTTACCTGGAAATATCTCCACTGGTTGTGTGTCACCAATCCAGGCTGAAGGGACAAACCAGTGGGCGCAGCAATGAGGCCACAGGAAGGAGCTCCCCAAATCAGGTCTGTGGTCCTCGAGAGTCCCTGTCCTTACGGGAGTGGTACCCTGTGGAAAGGAAACGAAAGTCATGTTACTATGACAGGCAATCTCTAGGCCTTCTACCACATGGCAGTTTCTAAGCCATGTGCAGACAAGTACAGGATCAGGGACCACCAATAGAGAAAGACTTCCAGGAGATAAACTTGTCTAATTCATTCATCCCGTAGTTGGGGAAACTAAGGCTTGAAAAAGAAAACAGCATCCTTGAGACCATCCTTTTGGGAGGTGGTCCAGATTGGCTTTGGACTCTCTGAACTTTAGAATGCAGCCTCGTGGTCAGGCTGACCGAAGTGTGGCTGCTGACCCTGAATGGAAAGGCTTCTTCTGTATGTGTGCATATATACATGTACATGTGTTCATATACGTATGGGCCCTGTGCGCACGGGTGTGTGTGTATATGTGCGTGGAGGCCAGAGGTTGACAAGGGGAATCTTTCCATCAGTCTCCCCTTGATACAGTAAGGCAGGATTTGTCACCGAGCCCAGAGCTCACTAGTCAGCTTGCCCCAGGGATCTGTCCATCTTTGCCTCCTGAGCACTGGGATTCAGCAGGTCACCACGTGTGTGCAGCATGGATATGGGTACTGGAGATCGGAATGTAGGTCCTTACGAAATTGCCCAGCAGGCACTTCACACACCGAGGCATGTCCCAGCTTCCCTCCCTTTTAAAAACATTTCACAGAGAGGTGAAATTTTCCCCACGCTTCTGTTTTTGTAGTTTTTATGGGTTTGCCACGAGGGAACTAAATTGGTAAAACAGTCCATCTCAGACATGTGACTCGGATGGTGTCCCTCATTATAAAAACATTGTTATGGAAGACTGTGAACCACGGACACAGCATAGGTGGGCTTTGCTTTTTAGTGGCAACAAGTCTTTCTCTCTTTCTCCAACCCCCTCAACCCCTCTGTCCCCTCTCTCTCTCCCTCCTTCTCTTTCTCCCTGTTGCAGAAAAATAGGAAAAGATATAGACTCTTCTGGTGAGTACTAACTCTTACAGGGATTTTCTGGCTCCCCTGTGTATTTGAACAACCACACTTCAACACAGAAAACAAACTGAGAGAAGAAACACACGTATCTAACATTGCTTAACCAAATCATAGCTCCCAGGCTCATCATGTGACCTCTGTGCCCATATTTCCCCAACTTGGCCTAAGCTTTGTCTTATCAGGCACCGCTAATTTCAATTTTCCCCACAACTAGAACCCCGAACTTCATACAGCTAGACTGTTTGCAGAGGCGTGAAGAAAGTGCACTGACGAGCCCAACCTGCACAGAGCTTCCTTGCACACACACACACACACACACACACACACACACACACGTGTGCATGCACTCAAAGAAAGAGGCGGTAGACTAATTGGAAAGAGAAAAGGGAGTTCACCAGCAGAGGGAGGGGCTAAGAGAAAGTAACCAGATAAAACTGTCAAAAGTGAAAATATAAAACAGAAAAAGAAACAGGGCCACATCTGACTCTCAGAACTTTCTGTGCGTATCAGTTGGGTTACATTTATTGGGGTCAAAAATCAGAAGTTGTCTATGCATCCATTGTCCTCCTCAAATGCAGGACAAAGTGCTTTGGAAGCTGTCAGTGTTGGAGAGACAGGAAGGGGTATTCTTCCTAGGTCCTAGGGCAGGGTGGAGAAGGCCTTTGAAAGCCAGAGCTTACTGCCCAGCTCTCTGCTTGCCTCTGGGAGGTTGGACTGGCCTGGGCTCTTTGCAGCTGCAGACAGAGGGCACCACAGGAAATCATGATTATCAATGCTCCGGGCTTTGTTCCTGTTCTCAGACAGCCTGGACATGCCAGGAGAGATGGGGCGGGGGCGGAGAAAGAGGAAGAAAAAAAAAACAGGAAGTGAAGTGGGGGAGGAAACACTAGAGAAAACAGCCGCTTTGGACCGTCCTCCACCAGAGAGTGTTCTCTGAGCAAACTGTGGAGCTGTGTTTTTGGAAAATAGGGTGTGGCGCAGATGAGGAAGAGGGTCCTGTGGGTGGGTACCCATAAATTCTATTTCCAGCCCTAGAGCCTGGTCTGTCCAATACAAGGCTGGGTGTAAGCACTAAAGAAAATAAATTTCCAAAGGACCGGTGGGGGAAGGCCCTTCCCCCACACCTCTTGGCAAAGCCTGAGAGAGCAGGTGAGCCACGAAGGTTCTAGAAATAAGAGAGGAACTCTTGAGGTGATGGAACTCTTGAGGTGACTAGACATCTGGAGAGCTTTCCCAGGCCCCCGCCATCTGCTTTCTCTCTCAGCCACTTTCAGATTGTTCGTGGTTTGGGAGGCATACATGAATCTCATTTACAGAAACTGGCCCAGCTACCTTCAACCGTATAACACAGAGGTTCAGAACACTAAGCCTTCATGGCATGGCTAAGATCCTGCCCTGATGCTTTCCGTCTATTTTGTTCGCCCAGAGATGCTTCCAGAAGTTCCCCATCTTCAAATACACATCATTTAGCACGACATCTCCTGGTGAGCTCAACAACCTCACAGAAATAGTCTTACTCCAAGGAGAGGGTCAGTGGGACCCTCTGCTCCCTCAGCCACTGTTGGCAGTTAATGGTTATTGCTGAGCGAGCATCATTTTCTTGTGGAGTCTAGTCATTGGTCAAGTGGTCCAGGACTTAGTCAATAAACACTCACCCATGCTCTTTATAAGGAACCTGAATTCCAATCAGCGGATCTCCCTGTCCCAGAATGTCTCTGCCTCTCTCTCACACACAGAAATACATGAAAGTGTGGGAGGGGCTTATTGGGAAGAGGATTTCCATGGAAGACCAAGGAAGAGGAGAGAAAGTAACAGGGGGTGGGGTAGAAAGTTACCAGGGTTCACCATACACATATATGAAACTGTCAGAAAAGAAAAACAGAAGAATTGAATGTGAAGGTTTAATGATGAGACATTTGTGGGAAGATTATTAACACTATCACTGTTTGACCAGAGAGAGGGGGAGGGGGGGAGGGGAGACCCAATAGTACTTAGCACTACTCTTCATGCTCCCACAGGCACGAAGAAGGAGCAGAGAATGTAGAATCCTTAACTAGTCCACAAGTCCACCACTCCAGTGGTTCCCCAAAACTGCATATCAAAGAAGCTAATAGAAAGTATAGTTCAAACCCAGAGAAGGAAGTGGTAAGCTGGCGTCCAGGCGGCTTTTGTTGGCATCAACCTGGCTTGGCTCCCTGGGCTAGTATTTGGGTCACAAGGGGAATTGGTTTGGCTCTCATGGTGGTCCCACCTCCTCTTGTTTCCTAGACAGGATCACAAAGCCCCCAGAGAGGATTTTCTCAAGGTCTGACATTAAATGTCCTTCTGGGGATCCATCCCAGATTCTGTAAATCATTTTCTTAATATCCAAACATGGGATAAGCCTGCGTAAGCTTATCTTTGTGGAGAATCCAAGCTCTTTCAGGTAGTAGCTCATAGCTGACTGTGAGAACCACATATCTAAGGGAGAGCAGGGATGAAACGAGGAAAGCAACATCAGCCCGTCTCTGTCTCCACAACGACACAACCTAGCATCCCACTGTCCTGATCTGCTTCTGAGGCCCGTTCTTCTAGGATGCCACCACAGCCTATGGTGCTGTGATCAGCAGGAGGGCTAGCCCTCCATAACACATGGTGACCGGGAATGTGGTTTTCAGTACCATAGCCTTTGCTCAGCTTGCAAAGAGCTACAAAGACTGTTGAACAAACTGGAGAAGCCAAAATCCAGAAATGGGGAAAATTTCAGCCAGGGGGAAAATTTCGGCCAGGGCCATGGGACAGAATTAAGGCGTGACAGGCAGCATCTAACTGGTGACATCCAGTGCAGTGACCTTCTCACAACATCCCTCCCCCTCCTAGCCAGAGAAGGAGCTGCTGAAAGCTATGGGTCTTCCACTCCCAGAGTCTGTGGCAGAGGGGCAGAGTAGGGACCAACAGAAGCAAAAGGGAGAAAGAGGGTAAGATCAAAGGCCCGAGAAAACACGTTTGTGACTCCACACCGGACAGATAGGGAAGCCAAAGGCCAATCCAGGAGTGGGCTCCTTCAAAATTCCCCATTCTCCGCAGCAGAGTGAGGCCTTGAGAGCAAAGCGCTTCATGTGACATTTTCCCCACAGCAGCAGGAGTGGGGACAAAACAGCATCAGAGCAGGGACTAACTGTGAATCAAGCGTCAGTTGTACATCTTGTCACCCCCTAAAGTCTTACAGAAATCCTGTCGGCTTGGCACAGCTGCTGTCCCTTTCACAGTTAAGAAAACCGAGATACATCAGGGCTTAGCCTCTGGTCTAAGAGATTCGGCGTTTGAGAGAGAAGAGTCAGTTTATGAACTCGGCCACTCTGACTGGAATTCTTGCTGTTAAGCACTTCCTAAAACTCTCTCTCAAAGCAGCTATATTAAAGGGCAAGACACTGGAAAGAGCTGAATAAAAACAAATCCCCTAGGAACAGAGGACTCTTCATTCAGCAGAGAAGGAGGCAGTAAAGCTCTCCGGGCAGGGAATGGCATGAAGTGCTCACAGCTGACTGGAGGATTTAGTCCCTGATCCCTTTTGGCCAGCAGCCCGCTGGGGTCAGCCACCACCAGGAAATGGCATCCTGGTCTCGATGTTTACATGGCCCCACTCATAGGAGAAGGAAGTGGCTGGACCTTGGAGGCCTGAGAGAGATCATCTGGGTGGGTGGAAGAGGTGATGACGATGTCTTAGGAAATCAGTTCCCAAGGCCCAGAGAATGGAGCAGCTGGGGCTGGCAGGTGAGCAACTCTCTGCTCGCAGTCCCCAGGCTAATGGCACATATTCTCCCAAGGATTCCTGGCTGCCTGGTTTCAATCTCACAAGAAAGAAGGGACAAGGCAGGACAGAAGTCATCTCTTACCGTTTCACAGATGCTGAGAATAAAGCCCAAACACTGCCAACCCTGGGACAACTAACAGTCATAATGACAGTAACAGCAGCTGCCGTTAGTTGGCGGTCTGTCCTACATCAGGAGGCAAGCCAGATGCTTTTAAGGAGATCACGAT